AAGAGCAATGATGTCAGTCTGGAGACTAAGGTGTGCCTGATACATGCCATGGTCTTTGCAATCACTTACTATGCCTCAAAGAGCTGGACAATGACTAGGGATGCTAGAAGGAGAATTGAGGCCTTTGAGCTGTGATATTGGAGAAGAGTATTGAACTGCTAAGAGAGAATGAATAGGCTCATCCTGGAGGGGATTAGACCAAGCTGCTCCTTGGAGGCAAGAATTCTGAAGCTTCATCTGACATACTTTGAACATGTTGCAAGGTGGGACGGAGAGGGTGGAAGGACAGTCCAGGAAAGGAAGACCCTCAATGAGATGGATTAATTTAGTGATGTTGGTAATGGGAGTAGGTGTGTCAGAGACAATAAAATTGGTACAAGATAAAGCAGGGTTTAGTGCTGTTGTACAGAGGGTTTCTGTGAGTTGCAGGTGACTCAACAGCACGTAACAACAAGAAGAAACAGCTTTCAGTGTAGAATACATCTCAAACATCAAGAAAATATCAGCATCATTGTAGGTGGAGAAAAGATTGAAACTGTCAGTGATTTCAATTTACTCGAATCTCTAATCAACATAGGTCATAGCAGCAGTTAAGAAATCTAAATCTAAGAAATCCGTCTTCAGAATCCGTAAACATGGTGTTCCATAGAGGCATGGAAGATGAATCTTGGTCTCACATAGATTGGACATGCTGGCAGGATGTCCTTGAAAAATGACAATATTCTGGGAAGAGTAGAGTATCATCAAATGAGAGGAAGACATTCACAGAGATGAACTGAGACAGTGATTTCAACAATGAACTTGACCATGGTGGAGACAGAGGCAGGTACAGAATTAGCAAGGTTTCCGTCTATTTTTCATAGGGCTTTTGTGAGTTGTAATTGGCAGTGCCTAACAGCAACAACTACTACTACTAATGGCTTCCACTCACCACTGCCTCCTCCTTCATCCAGAAGAATTCGATAGATCCCAACTGTTGTTGTTAGGTGCAGTTGAGTTGACTACAACTATTGGTAACTGTATGATAACAGATCTGAATTTTACCATATCCTTTCCCATCCTTGTGATCTCCATTAAGCTCAAGCCCATTGTTACAATCCCGTGTGAGTTCTTATGGCTTAGAGTCATCTCTGTCCAGAGCCACAACTTGAATCGGAAAAAACATGGTACAAAATGTAAATTAATGAAAAAGACTACACTTAGTGGACAGGCAGGGACTGGAGTATCAGTCAGTCTTTTAACCTGTATCTGAAGCCACTTCTTGAAGTCACTTTTTAACCTAATAATAGATTGGGCATAACATAGACAACGTTTTTTAAGAATGTGCTTCTTAGAACAGTCAATGACATGAGACCAGGGGAGCACCATATGCCTAAAAGCAAAAATAATAAGGCATGTGGGGGCAGGATGACTGCAGAGGGAAGATAGGGCACAAATGAGGAGAGTGCTGGTGGTACCTACAGGACAGCAACCAATGTCGTGAAACAATTTGGGTATGAAATGATGAATGGAAAACTAATTTTCTGCGTGAACTTTCACCTAAAACAAAAGAAAATATTCAACAAGACCTAAAGAAAGAAACCCAGATGTTCTGCAGCTACCTGGAAATGATTCATTTAACATGATTATGCTCTTTGGGAAGTATTATTACCATTCAGTTCTAAGATAGAAGTTCTCTCTCCTTTCTCCCTGTATCATATTGTACTCTTTCTAAGCAAAATTTTGGTAACTATGTTTTTCTTTTATCTTTTCAGCTCTGCTTTAGTTGCCCTTTAGCAATCTATGGATAATGCAGATAGTTAAGTGCTTGACTATTAGTCAAATTTGGATGTGTCCAGGGGTGCCTTGGAAAGAGGGCCTGTCAGTCTGTTTCTGAAAGGTCACAGCCTGCACACTTTCTGGTACCCACTCCGTTCTGCTGACCAAACGTGGGGTCACCATGTTTCAGAATTGACTCGACAGTGTCTATGACTCAAATGGTTTGTGACCTCTGATTGCTTAATTGGAAGATTGGTTCATCCCCTCCCAGTGGTGCGGTAGAAGATAAGCCTGGCAGTTGGTTTCTACAGTGGTTACAGCCAAGAAAACGCATGGAGCTCAGTTCTATTCTGTAACATGTGCCTTTGAATTACCTTCAGTATACCGGGAAAATAGATTGCCTAGTCTACATTTTCAATACTGTTCCCAATATACATGTAATATTTGACTATCATCTCTCAATCTCCCTTATTTGTAAATGTGTTCTTCTTTTTTGTGTCTTCGAATTGGAACTGACTCATCACAGACCCTCCAGTGGGATTTTAGAGACTATAAATTAGATAGAAGGAGATTGTTCACTGCTGAATTTTCTCTTTCTTAGGAGTTGCTGGATTAGAACTGTTCACACGACTCCTTAGTTACTGCTAGGCCATCAGAGTTCCCTTCACCTTTTCTAGTCTTCTCTATGTAGTAAATAATTGATCTCCATTCCCACCACTGTTGCCTATGTGTCCATCACTTTCTTGTATCAAATGGTGTCCTATTTCCATTTTTACTTCTTTACAGTCTCTTTTTTTCATATACAGTAAGGAGAATGACCTTTTAAAAACAGAATCACACGCTGTTGCTTAAAACCTTTATTTGTATGTAAAGTGCAAACTATGTTAGTTGTCACTGCAGGAGTTATCCCTTGTTTCTCCCTTTGCCCTGTTCTTTTGCTTTTGGTATGCTGCCCCTCATTTGCTCTGCTCCAGCCACACTGGAGTTCTGCAGTTATACCAAGTTTGTTCCCCTTTTGTGCCTTTGTAGCAGCTGTTTCCTCTGCTTGGAATTCTCTTCCCCTAGACTCTGCATACTTGACCCCTTTATACTTATTAAGATTTCAGGTTTCACCTTCTCCAGAGGTCTTTCCTGATTGTCCAGATAAAGTACCTCCTGTTTTAGGACAGCATCCTATTCTATTTTCCTTTGTTGCTTTTAACAATTTAAACCATCTCTATATATTTGTTTAATGTTTCTCCTTTCCATGTGGGCACTTAAATGATATAAGATAGATCTTTCTTGTATTGTCTACTTTGTATTCCTAACACTTAAGACAATGGCCAGTAAATAATATCTGAAGGGGGAAAAGTTCAGTGAGTGAATCACTCCAGTGAGAAATGTGCTTTTGATAGCCTGAGGCTGCTGGAACCAGTTATCTAGAGGTAAAGGAAGATGAGGCAGAGTACAAAAGTGATTTATTTTTTTTTTTTTAGTCCTGGAAAAAACCAAAAAAATCAATAATATGAACTTAGCTCAACAGTGAATTTAACAATCCAGAAAAATGTAAATAAAAACATCACAGTTCCATATTAAAAAGTAAGGAATTTAAACAGACCAGTACAAAATTAATCTGAATACTTCTATCCTATTAATAACTTCAGTATATATAAATTTGTAATTGTTTTTGTTCAAACATTCTTGTGTGTGTGTGTGTGTGTGTGTGTGTGTGTGTGTGTGTGTGTGTGTGAGTGTACCATCAAATCAGATCTGACTGGTACAGGAGGAGATTGTCCCTCCTTTTCCCGGCAGAGCATCTGGTGGATTAGAACCATGCGCCTCTGGGATTGTAGTTGCATCTCCTTGCCACTAGGCCACCAGAGCTCCCCTGTTCAAACATTCTTGTAGGTCATATAGCCTTGGTGTGTCCACTTGCCGTACAGTGGTAACTTGTGGTCGCAGTGAAGCTGAACACTGTGACACTGATGTGTCAAATGCAATAATGGTTACCCATGGTGGACGGTGTTTGGTGGGGCTCCCCTGTTAAAACATGCTTGGAAGCAGGAGCGGCATCCACTTCCATAAATAGCTTGCCTCTGTAAACTCTATGAACCTGGAGAAAGGTTGAAAGTCACGCAAGGGTCGAAGACTTTCAATCATAGGGTTGCTATGAGTAGCCTATGACAGGAATGCACTTAACAACAACAACATATATCTCTCTATCTCCATCTCCATCTCCATCTTCATCTCCTTCTCTATCTCTATATATCATCTTATCACCCAATCTAAAAAGACATTACATCATAAATGTACATTTAAAGCATTTCAGGTTGAAACACAAGAAAAAAATTTTCTAGAGTTGCTTGCATAGTAGCATTACTGTCATGAAATTACACTTTTATAATGTTGTAACTTAATGTTTTCCAAAAGTATTTTAAAATAACTGCTACATGTGGGCTAGGGAGATTATACTATAAGGAAAATATTATAGTGTGTTTTATAAGATGTGCCCCAAAGAATTTTTTGTATTGAAGGAAACAGAGAATGTTCTTAAAACCTGCTCTTGAAACATACTGTTGCTCTTATGTCTTTAGAGTTGCTGTTATTATCAGATCTTCTGGTGTTTTAGTTATAATCTTGCAATAATAACTATTTATGATCCTACATTAATCACTCTTTTGAGAATGAAATAGTAATCAAAGGAAGAAAAAGAGGAAGAAAGGATTTTACTTAGTTATTAATAATATTATAACTAATAATAATAATAATAATTCAGTATAAATTTTATAAAACAACTTACTTGTATTGTACTTTCAAGAACATTCTATTTTAAGCAATTTATAGCTATATTCATCACATTGTTTTGTTATTAAAACTGTTAATAAACATTCCTAAGATGGTTATGAACTTTGATAACTTTGGTATTGTACTAGAGCTACTTTTAGAATTTTTGGCATCTAAGGCTATGTATGGATCTGTTTTTATTGCCTACCTAGTTTAAAAGTTGAGGTAATATTTTTTGACAGTAGTTGGACAGTGTTGATGTCTGTAATTAGAAGGCATAGTATGTGATAAATGAATTATTGCTGTTGGGAAGGTCTTGATTATCTTGCTTTATATGAGCAGTAAAAGCTCATGTTGTTCTGTAATTCAGTGTTGTTTTTTTTTAATCTTATAAGGATTATCTTTTGCTCGCCTTATTAAATATTATAAATATATTGACTTTTAAAAAGAATTGTTTTCTTCTCTTGCTTTTTTCTAAGCTGCACATCTTTGACTCCTGGACCCAACTGTGACCGATTTAAACTGCATATACCATATGCTGGAGAGACATTAAAATGTAAGTAAATGTCCTTTTACCCCAGGTTACAGACTTAGTTACTGGATTTTGTTCTTTAGTTTTCTTTCCAGCTGTTAGGAGCTCTCTTTTAAGATACTGATCAATAGGATCTACTACTTTTCCCTATCAGTCAGTCTTAGCTCCATTTAAAGTTAGGCAGTTGGCAAGAATAAATGGTTGTCAAACAGCTAGGCACATACATTCCTTAGTTTTAGTTATGCTCCGTAATTCTCTTGTTATTTTTTCTCCGTAAGCCTTAAGTATTACATAAGCCAGCTCTTATGTTATAAATATTTCATTAAAGAGTCCACTACATAAGAAGAGTTGTATATAAATTGTATTTAGGTAGGAATGGCTAATATCCACCATTGCTGGCAACACTTTCTCATTAATGTAATCCTGATGGCTACGTGAGTGTCAGAGTCCTAGCTCATGGACTCCTGGCATGGGTTCGAAGTGTTAACGTATTACCTATTTTGTAATAAGGGTCAGAAATAGAAATGGCATGAAAGTGAGAAGTGAGCTATGGTGGTGAAAATTGCAGTACACTGACTTCATCTCAAGGGTTCTTCCTCTACTGATATATTGGAGGAAGGGTAGAAATATGATTTTTTATGTTCATTTTATACACTTTTAGATGTTGACAATACTCTTAAAAAATCTAAAACTTTTTGGATCAACATCATGCAGACAAAACGGAGTATGTCTGTGGGCCAACTGGAGCTCTTGGCCCACTAGTTTATGACTTCAGATGGAAATGTGTAAGATCTGTTCATTCAGACCATCACTTAGGGTGTCTGTCTTGTTACCTAATGCTGATATGACAGAATTATCATTAGTGGATGGCTTTAATAAATGGTGTTACTACCCAACAACTTGTTGTTAGGTGTTGTTGAAGCAGTTCTCATTTACAGTGACCCTGTGCACAGACAGAATGAAACACTGCTCTCTGCGCCATCTTCAAAATCATTGTTATGTTTGGGCCTGTTGTAGCTACTGTGTCATTTCATTTTGCTGAAGATCTTCCTCTTTTTCCTGACCCTCTAGGGAGCGCTGGTGGTATAGTGGGTAAGAAGTTGCACTGGCAACCCAAAAGTAGGTGGTTTGAGTCCAACACCTGCTCCAAAAAAGAAAGATGGGCAGTCTCCTCAGGTGATTTATTGCCTCTGAACAGTTGCTAGAGGGTCAGCTATGAGTAACTTATGACTCAGTGACATATAACAACAAGTATTTCACCAAACATTATTTCCTTTCCCCAGGGACTCTCCCTTCCTGATAAGATGTCCAAAGCATGTAATTTGAAGTCTCACTGTCCTTGCTTCTATGAAGCATAACACATTTCTTCCAAGATATCTTTTTTTTTTTTTTGGTGGCCCAATCAGACCAAGCCCACTACCATAAAAATCTTTTCTACTCACAGTAAACCTGTTGTTGTTAGGTGCCATCAAGTTGAATACAACCCCTAATAATCCTATGAATAACAGATCTGAACCCTGTTCTATCCTGTGCCATATTTTCAACCCCTGACACACTCAAGTCCATTGCTGTAGACACTCTGTCGATCTGTTTATTTGAGAGTCTTCCTCTCTTTTGCTGATCCTGTACGTTTCCAAGAATGGTGTCCTCTCCAAGGAATAGCTTCTCCTCACAATTTACCCAAATTATGTGAGTTGAAACTTTATTGTCTTTGTGTCTAAAGAATATTCTGGCTGCACCTTCTCCAAAGTTCTTTTGGCAGTCCTCTTCTTCAATACCAGAGCTCAAAGACATCAATTTTTTTTCTGTCATCCTTATTCATTGTTCAGCTCTCAGATTGTTCAACAAGTGATTGAAAAGATCATGGCCTGAATCAGGTACACCTAAGTACTCAAACTGACATTAATCCTCCTCAATAATTTAGAGAGGTTTTTGACTGCAGACTTTCCTAGTACAATACGTCTCTTAATGTCCTGACTACTGCTATCAAGTTTATTGGTTATGGAGCTAGGTAAGATGACGTTGCTGACAGTTTCAGTCTTCTCCATCTGTCGTAATGTTGCCTCCATCTATCATGATTGGCTCACTGGTGACAATTTTTGTTTTCTTGATGTTGAGATGCAGTCAAAGTAAAACTGCTCATGTAGGGTTTCATTGTCTTTCTTCTATGAAGCAGCTAGTTTGTGGGTTATTAGCCAAAATGCTTTCACCACATCACTACTCAGGACTTCCTATTTTTATGGCAGTTCACGATATATTTAGTATCCTTCACCAATGCCAAAATTCAAAGGCATCAATAATTTTTCAGACATCTTTATTCATCATCTAGCTTTCATATGCATATGAGGTGATTGAAAATACCTTAGCTTGGATCAGATGTGTCCTCATCATTAAGTGGTGTCTTTGCTCTTCATCATTTTAAAGAGGTCTTTTGCAGCAGATTAACCCAGTGTAATGTATTGTTTGATTCCTTGATTTCCAGTTCCATGGACCTTGATTGTGATCTAAGTAAAGTGAAATCTTCCACTGCTTCAATTTTTCCTCATTTGTCATGACGTTGCCTGTTGGTCCAGTTGTTTGTCCAGTTTGTTTTCCTCGTGTTTGAATATATTCCCTGTAGATGGCTATATAGTCTTTGAGCTTTGTCAATAAGTACTTCAATTCATCTTCCTTACTTAAAAAAATTGTGCATGGAAGCAAACTGATAGAAAAGAAAAACTGAGAAAAAGTGTGCAAAAACTAAAAATTTGACATGTTTCTACTTCAGCCACTTTTATAATTTCATATCTTTGATGTTGTTGTTATGAGATACTCTCTGATGAATTCTAATTCACAGCAATCCTGTGTACAATGGAACACTCCAAATCATGCACCAACCTCACAATCATTGCAGTATTTGATCTCTGTGCATTGCCCTGTGTCTTTGGAAGACACTTTTTTTTCTGGATCTTCCTCTTTTTGCTGAACCTTTACTTTACCAAGCATGATGTTTGTTTCACTGGTTAAAGTGCTTAGCTGCAGCCTAAGGATTGAATGCTAAACCTGCCATCTGCTTTATGGAATAAAGCTAAGGTAGTCTGCTTCTGTAAAGATCTACTGTAGCAATGATTAATAAGGTGATAGTTAATGTTAATTATTACACAATTTGTGATTGAATTCACTTCAACCCCTACAACCAATATGTTTATCGTTAGAGAAACATATAATTCACGATAATAAACAGTTCAACAAATGTCTTCTAAAACGTATACAAATGTGTAAGGTAATATAGTTTACCAGCCTTTGGCGAATAAATGTTATAACAAACAGAAAAACTCTTCACCTTTTTTAGAAAGTAGACCTATTGTTGTTGTTGTTGTTATGTGCCGTCGAGTTGTTTGTGACTCAGTGATCTTATGTACAACAGCCCTAAACCCTGCTCTATCCTGTGCTAATCTCACTGTCTCCGACACACCCATCCCAATTACCCCAGTCACTGAATCAGTCCATCTCATAGAGGGTCTTCCCCTCCTGTGCCGTCCCTCCACCCTCCCAAGCATGATGTCCCTCTCTAAGGACCCGTCCCTCCTTGCAACATGCCCAAAGTATGTCAGATGAAGCCCCAGAATCCTTGCCTCCAAGGAGTAGCTTGGTTTAACCCTCTTGAGGATAAATCTGTTTGTTTTCTTGGCAGTCCACGGTACATTCAATACTCATCTCCAGCACCACAGCTCAAAGGCATCAATGTCATTGTCCACCTCTCTGATGCATGACAAATGATTGCAAAGACCATGGCTTATATCAGGAGCCCCTTAGTTTCCAGAGAGACACAGTTGCTCTTGAGTACTTTAGAGAGGTCCCTAACAGCTCCCATCTCGCAATATGTTTTTTGATTTCCTGGCTGCCGGTGCTAAGAGTGTTGACCGTGGAGCCAAGCAGACTGAAGCTGTGAACAATCTCAATCTCTTCGCCATCCATCCTGATGCTACCGATTGGTCCAGTGGTGAGAATCTTTGTCTTCTTGACATTGAGCCTCAGTCCATACTGAAGGCTGCAGTCCTTGACCCTCTGCAGTAAGTGCATGAGGTCCTCCTCAGTTTCAGCAAGCAGGGTTGTGTCATCTGCATAATGCAGATTGTTAATAGATCTTCCACCAATCTTGACCCCACACTTCTCCTCAAAGAGCCCAGCCTCCTGGATTATCTGCTCTGAATACAGGTTGAAAAGGTAGGGAGATAGGGTGTATCCCTGGCGTAACCCTTCCCAATTTTGAACCATGCAGTGTTACCCTGCTCTGTTCTGACAACTGCCTCTTGGTCCAAGTATAGGTTTCGCATTAGCATGCTTAAATGTTCTGGGATTCCCATTCTTCTCAGAGTCAGCCACAGTTTATTATGATCCACACAGTCAAACACCTTTGCATATTCAATGAAACACAGGTAGACATTCTTCTGGTATTCCCTGCTTTCAGCTAAGATCCATCTAACATCAGTTACAATATCCCTAGTACCACGCCCCCTTCTAAATCCAGCCTGGATTTCTGGCAATTCTCTGCTGATGTGCTGTTCCAGTCATTTTTGGATAATCATCATTAGAATCTTGCTTGCATGTGAAATCAATGATATTGTTTTGTAGTTTCCACACTGTTGGGTCACCCTTCTTTGGAATGGGAACAAATATTTATGTTAACAAGAAACTGGTAGATAAAAAATACACTAACTCTTCACTTACTGGCAAGATTAACTTCCAAAGATTAGGTTGTTATAAGATATTATATGAAAATTAAGGATAATCACATGATTCTCAATATAGAGGATGATTACATCATCACATAACTGCCAGCTTATATCATTATATAGCTGTCATAGCATATCATCACACAACTGCCAAACCATTGATAGCTCAGTCAAGATAACACATCACTTTAAACATCACAGTTAGTGTTATTCTCTTCTTGCACCTTCACATTCATTACTGCCAGGTGTACATGGTTAATGTGTAAAATAGTTTGATAGTAGATTTTTATTTTCTGTTGTGAATGTGAA